CTTCTATGAAAGCTGAAAAGGTACAACTTTAAACCACCTACTACAATTGAACTAGAATAAGAATAAACACAATAGAATTGGTTCTTCTATCTTGTCCAAGTAGCTTCAGGAATGCACACTTGAATTTCACATAAATTGCTTGCAAAATTGCCTCGCTCTTTTGCTCTCAATTTAGTTTTACTTCTGCGTTTGTGCAACTCCTGTAAAAGAGAACAATCATTGTTATTTAATGAGTTAGTAATCAGAGTTTGATTGAGACTCAATTGCTGATCCTTTGTCGAATTTGAGTCCGACAACAATACAAACTCCAACACTTATCCTTGATCCGGATTAAGTTCTCTTCACATTAGGAGACTTCATCTCCTCATCCTTTATGCAACCTTTTCGATCAATTCAGAAGATATTACTACTTGATCCTTGAGATTTGTCTTCTTCACGTGTATCTCACATGTATAACTAGATAACCACTGTGTCTCACAAGATGAACCTGGTCCATGACTGAGTTCATTTGTCAATCTTCAAAACTTCATCTGAACTTGGGCCAACAATAGTGTTATTGGAATTAATTTGTTCCTTTTTGTTATTGAAAACATTGCTGTTTCTTGTGATCCAGATGTGCCAAAGACAAAAAGGGATGAGGTTGTCCCAACCTATGCAGTTATTGTAAGGAACAGTTTTGAGAGAGTTCCATGTTGATTGCCACTGGTGGTTATTGAAGACTGGGTGATTTAAGCTAGTTCTTGAGGATTTGGATAGGATGTCATTCCAGAAGTGGACAGCATTAAGACATTCAAAGAAAATGTGGGTAATGTCTTCCTGGTCATTGTTATAGTAGTGGCATTGAGGGACACAATTGATTCCAATGGAGTGGAGGAAGCTCCTAGTTGGGAGTCTTTTATGGATTAGGAGCCAGATGAAGTATTTGATTTTGTTGGGGGCTTGAATCTTCCAGATCCATTTGAAGTGTGCTTCTTCCCCAGAAGGGAGACTTGCTATAGTCCTTCTTAGGAAGGAGTAAGCAGAGCTATGTGAGAACTGGCCATTAGGAGTCAAATCCCATATAAGATTGTCATCCTTAGTTGTGTCACTGGGAATGAATACAGAGTTCAGTAGGTTCAGAATACTTGGGGGAAGGATGATGGATAGGGTTGAGGTATCCCAGTTGCCCAGGTTGTGGATTGAATCAACCTTGGCTTGAAGGTCATTTTGAGTTAAAGGGCCTTCTATCATTTGCCTGCTTGCTGGCTGATTAGGGATCCAAGTGTCATTCAAGAAACTGACCCTATTCCCTCGGTTGACTACCCATCTGCTTGCTTTGCTGCAAATCTACCAGCCCTTTAGGATGCTTTTCCATATTGGGATTTTTGGGTTCTTAGGGTGTCTCAATGCATTTACTGGTCTAGACATGTTGCAATGTTTGTGGATGAGGACTCTAGCCCATAGACTATTGGTATTCTTATAAGCTCTCCAAGCCAGGTTTGTGAGTGAAACATTGTTCTTGTTGCTAGCCTTTTGGAGCCCTAACCCTCCCTCAACCTTGGTCTTAGTGACTACATCCCACTTAATCAGATGCAACTTTTTCCTTTCAGGGGTGGTGCCCCAAAGGAAATTTCTCTGAATTCTATCAATCTGATTAGTGACTTTGGTGGGTAGATTTATGTATTGCATGACATGGCTTGGGATGCTGTTCAAGGAAGTCTTGGCCAGTACTGTTCTCCCAGCCATGTTAAGGCATTTTGTTTTCCAACCAGCCAACTTGGATTGCATGTTGTCAATGATGAATTGGAAGTCTGTAGCTGATTATTTTTTATGGATAATGGGAAAACCCAGGTATTTTCCAAAGAATGTTGTGTGCCTGATGGACAAATAGGTAGAGAGATGTTGGAGGGTATCCTGAGAGGTGTTTGAGGAAAACAAGACCCTTGATTTGGTGAGATTTATTTTTTGTCCTGATTGTTCATTGGAATTCTGCAATATAGAAAGAATAGTATTGCAGTTTCTGTCATTGGTTTTGGCAAAGAGGGTGAGCTCATCTGCAAAGAATAGGTGTGATATTTTTGGTCTAGACCTACTTATACTTATGGGGTGCCATTTGTTCTGAAGTACTGCCTTGTCAATAGATCTAGATAGTCTTTCCATGCACATAATGAATAGGTAGGGAGACATAGGGTCTCCCTGCCTAATGCCTTTTGAGGGATTGAAAGACTCTGTTTTCCCCCATTGACAAGAATGGAGATGGAGGAAGTACTGATGCATGACATGATGAGTTTGGATAGGCCCTGGGGGAAGTTGAAGGCATCCATAGTGTCTCTAATAAACGACCATTCCAGCCTATCAAAGGCCTTCTCTTGGTCTATATTTAGGATCATGTTGCCATTCTTCCCCTTCATTTTCCTGAAGTGAGTGATGTATTCTTGAACAATGATGGAATTGTCACAGGCCCTTCTACTAGATAGGAAGCTTGCTTGGCTTGGCCCAATGATGTGGGGGAAGATAGGTTTTATCCTGTTCACAATGATTTCTGTGACTGCCTTGTAGATGGTGTTGCAGAGGCCAATGGGTCTGAAGTTTTTTAGCATTGAAGCTTGGGGGCATTTTGGTATTAGACACAGAAGAGTTTGGTTCATGGTGCTGTCCACGGAGCTCGTGGTGAAGAATTTTTGACAGAAGTTTGTGACAGAGTCCCCTAGTATATCCCAATATTTTTAGTAGAAGAAAGGGTGAAGGCCATCTGGGCCAGGGGATTTGAAGGGTTTATTGGAGAAGACTGCCCTTTTAATCTCACTCACTTGGAGGGGTCTGTCCATAAAAGCCCTTTGGCTCTGGGACATGATGGGTTCCATGGTGGAGTGATCAGTGGTTAACCAAGGGGCTTCAGTGTGGGAAGTTGTGTATAGATCAGCAAAGAAGCCCACAATAGCTAAATGGATGTCTTTTTGGTCATGAAGCCAATTACCATTCTCTTCTTTAAGGGAGAGGATTTTGTTCCTCCTTCTCCTGTTGAGGGTTGATGGATGAAAGAACCTAGTGCTGGAATAACCCTCATTTAGCCAGTTGATCCTAGACTTTAGTTTCCAGAAGTCTTCTTTACTTTTGAGGATTTAGTTGAGTTCATCATTTAGTTAAGTTTCAAGATTTAGCAGGTAACTACTGAATTGGTAGCTAGGAGACTTTTGGATGCCAGAGATTCTAACCAGGAGCCTCTTCTTTTGATGGAAGATGTTTCCAGAGACCTCCTGGTTCCACTTGCTTACCAGAGTCTTGAAACTTTCAGTGGATTGAAGGAGGGAGGATTGGTCAGAGAAGGCCCTATTGATGATGATGGGGAATGAGGGGTGGCTAGCCCACATTGATTCAAACCTGAAGGGCCTTGATGGTTTATTTTTTGGAGGCCCTACCAAGTGAATTTGCAACGGACAGTGATCTGAGTGGGTCCTAGGGAGTTGAAGTACAGTAGCTTCAGAGTACTGTTTTATCCAACCTTCATTGGCGAAGCACCTATCTATTCTTTCCAGAATTAGGGAGGTTTTGTTGCTGTACATTTTATTTGTCCAAGTGTATTTGCTTCCTTTATAGCCTAGGTCTATTAGGTTACACTTGTTTATGCAATTCCAAAACAGGTTGTTGCGGCTCAGGTTTATAGGGTTACCCCTAAATTTGTCCCTGGCCTTTAAGACTTCATTGAAGTCTCCTCCTATGAACCAGTTTGTTTTTATGTTTTCTGATAATGTGATTAGTTGCTCCCAAAGGAGTTTCCTATTTACTAAGAGATTGCTAGCATAAATAGCGGAAAAGAGCCATGGACGGTGGTCTGGGCTTACCTTTACCATTGCATGGATACCTTGGGGGAAGTTGCCACTTCTTCAACAGTTGCGAACTCTTCTTTCCACATAAACACGATACCCCCAGATGGGCCTACTGCTGGAGACTGGATGATCATATCGAACTGGAGTTGCTGGGCTAAGGACTGGTGGCTGCCATCTTTCTTTCGAGCAATACTAGCATTGCAGGCTTGTGCATTTTCACCATTTCTAAACAGTGCCGTTTGAACTCGGCATTGTTTCCACCCCTAACATTCCATATGATGTAGTTCATCATTGGAGTTGTGGGTTATTGTTGAGTTCCCTCGTGAGGGCACTTTGGTCCTGGTAGACCCGACATCTGGAGTGTGGGTGACTTCCTCTTCAAACTTAGGATTGGAGTTAGGTTTAGAAGGGGTTTCAACGGACCGTGTGTTTGGCCTGAGACTAGGCTCATTCCACACTTGGTCATTGTTCTGGGACACAGCACCACTACTATCTCGCTTGTTTCCGTGCTAAACTCTATCGATCTCACTGAGTCGAGGAGGAGTGAGTCCGTCCTTGGTATGGCATAGGGCATTTTTGGCTCTTCTGAGGCATCCTTCTTCTTGAGAATCTCCAGAGCTTTGGAGATTCCTTTCTGGATATTCTTGAGGGGTGGTGAGTTGCTCTTCCTTTTTGGAGCAGAAGATGATGGGTTGGTTTGTTGAGCGATCATGACAAAGATTGTCTCCGCTGCTGGGTCCTCTTTCATCAGATCTGGAAAGAAGGGTAAGGATTGGAAGCTCTGTAGGATATGGCTGTTGAGAGCTTGCGGGTCCGTTAGCGGTGAGTTGCTGTCGATGTTGACCATCGATTGCCATAGGAGAGGTCCAAAGGCCGCCAGTGCCTTGTTCAGTGTTTCCACCATTACCCTGGCTAGGTGGGATGTGTTTTGCACTATCAGTGTCACCCTCTGATTGCCTAGGGTGAAATCGTAGGATAGTCCCTGCCCTTGCAAGGCAACCTCCAACCAGGAGGCTGGTTGGTGGCCCGGTGGTGGTGGTAGGGTGGTGATGGTGGTCGGTAGTGTTTCTTTTGCTTTTTTGTGTTTTTTTGGCTTGCTACTTTAGGTAACGATGGGGGTGAAGTTAAGGGACTATCGTCCCATCATTAAACCCTTTGGTGTCATATCTTGGACAGTGGAAGGGTTTTTGGGCATCAGAGCCAGGGGGTGGTGTGTTCATTAATTGGGGATGTAATGGAGGTGACGGTTGAGGTCTTTTCATTTGGAAATAGGAGGGGTAGCAAATACGGCACTCGATTGCTGTTGGTAACTGTTGGAATTTCTCCATTAGAGATTATTTCAGGAGATTTGGTAGGGAAAGCGTAGGTTTGGATGTTTGGGTGGGGAATTGGGCTATCAGTGGTGGCCTTGGTGGAGTGCCCGTTTGGGGAAGAGGGATCGGCCCCATTGGGTGTTTCACCAGACATGGTGTTTGAGCTATTGGGAGTTGGGCTAGAGTCCCCTTGGAAGCTGGGCTCATGATTGGTGTTAGTGGGATCGTCATTTGTTGGCCTCGCTTTTTGTTTGGCGCCTGTATTGGGCTGCATCGGTGGGCCTGTATTGTGTCCGTATTTGGGCAGATCTTGTGTACTGGTGAATTTTTTGTTTCGGACATTTGGCCTTTTTTTGGTTTTTTGGTCATTTAATAATTTTTTTGAATTATAACGAAGAGTTTGAGTTTGTAGGAATTTACCTGAATTGACATCGAACATATTTACCTGTATCTCTTCCGTCTGTGGAGCATGTTGTGGTTTGTTCGTTTTACCTTCATTTTTGTTTATTGTATTTTCTTGTCCCTGCTTACGTCTTCGTGGGAAGGTGACAGTTTTCCATTTGCTTTCCTCCGAAATGACTGCTTTCCCTTCATGATCGTCTTGTGGTTCTTGGGTTGCTGTGGGTTTTTGTACCCTATAGTTGCAGCTAAATGCCGTGTGTCCTATTCTGCCACAAATAGTGCATAGGGTTCCCTCTCCTTCATAGATCACAGCCTGCTTATGGTCTCCTATTATTACTGATGTTTCTACTGGGGTTTCCAGTGGAACTTGGATACAGATGCAAGCATATCTTCCCCTTAGGGTAGAGGATGTACATTTGTCTATCTTGAGTAATTTACCTAGTTTCCTCCCAACTTTTTTCAAGATATCCTGGTCATAGAACTCTGTTGGTAATTGAGGAACCCGGATCCAAATGGCAGTAGAAGTAAGGGTGGCTTCTTGAGGAACAAATTTTGGTTCCCATTTACGTACGGATAGGAAGTTTTCAGAAATGAACCAAGGTCCTAGGTGTAGAGCCTTAGCCATGCTTTCCTCTAGGCTAAATTTAACTATGTAGAAGTCTCACCCTAAGTCAATCAAGATTAACTGTTCAGATGGTTTCCATAGGTTGTTTAGCTTAAATCGAAGGAGGTGGTGAGGCATCTTTCGCTTGAATACTTTGATAATCACCGAGTAGCGCCATGGGAAGTAAAGACGCTCCTTGTCATCTTGTGAGAGTGGGATCGAACCCTCAATGTGCTTCCCTTTGTCCAGTTCTGGAATTTGTTGGTGGTCTATCTCGTAGTAGTTTGTTTGGTTGCTTAGTGGTTTATCCAGGAGCATTTCCTTATAGGAGTGATGAGGTAGTTCTACCTCCATTTGGCTGTGTTTATCTGGGGGTTCCGTTAGGAGTGGTGGCTTAATCGGTGAGGGATCCATAGAAGTAGGGTCTTACAGGGTGTAGAGAGAGCGTTTTAAGATGGGAACTTATATGGGGGCTAAAAATTTCTCTATTGTTCAAAAAAAATATAATTAGAAAGTAATCGTAAACAATTCTATAATAGAAACTAATAATGTCAGAATTAATGAAAAAGTCTTTGAAAATATCAACACACTTTTTGGAAATATTTTTTTTACTTTCTGTTAGAAAGCTACAGTTTCAGAATTATATTTTATTGTAAACTTTTGTCAGATTTATAAAAGCATAAATGGAAGAAATTTAAAGATTTTCCTATAGCTGATATGGTAGTCAGTCATAATTTGTTACCAATATAACTAGTATTAGTACATGCGCGATGCGCGGACACAAACCTGTGATTTGAGTTATTTGATTTATATGCAAATAACTTTAAAATATAAATCTTTCAGATAAAAGTTATATATAATCATTAAATAAATGTTAATAAAAAAGCAGATATTTCTCAAATCTCTTAAAATTACCCATAATTTCTTGTCCATATTGCATTAGTCATAACTTAAAATTATCATATTCTTGTCCGTTACTTCCATTATAATAAATTATAATAAAAATATGTTTTTTTTTCTTGTAGTAAAATGTTTTATTTACTTGTATACTTTTATTCTATTGTTCATATTAATGTTTAAATTTATTATATTTTTTATTGTAACGACCCGACCGGTCGTTTTGAGTTCTAGCGCTCTGATCAGCAGCCTGAGGCCATGAGCAGCTTCATTTCAGGTATTATGACTTGTGCGCGTGGTCGGAATTGAATTTCGGGAAGTCCATAGTTGATCTGGAAAGAGAATTCTCATTTTTAGAAGCTTAAAGTTGAAAGAGTGAACTAGGATTTGATTTTTTAGTAAACGACCTCGGAATCTAATTAAGTATTTTAGTTGGCTTGCCTGACATCGGTGTCCGGCGCCACCACCACCCTTAGTGGATTTTGGGTCGTGACAACATGGTATCAGAGCACTAGGTTCCTAGGGTCTCACGAGTCATGAGCAAGTCTAGTAGAGTCTCGCGGATCAGTACGGAGACGTCTGTACTTATCCTCGGGAGGCTGCAGGACTGTTAAGAGTACTTCCCTTCTTGATTCCTTATCGTGCGATTTGATTCCTGTGAGGCTTATGCCTTTGTTCCTTCCTACTCAATCTTATGCGACGCGAAGCGCTTGTTATAAATCGAGAATTGAAGGACCGTAATGGTACTACAGATGTGATACGGGATGTTTCTCCTGGTATAGCTAATCAGATTATTATCGTCGCTTATGGAAGAATATCTTATTGTTTCTGCCCAGTAGCGGTGCTTCTTACGGTTCTGAGGCTAGGCACAAGTTGCCATGATGCTTATGGATTATTGTTCTGAAGTATTGATATGATGGTAGGACAATTGCCTACGTGTCGGGGCAGTGAGTTACTTGAAGGGAAGTTTACTCAATGCATAATCAAGAGATTCAGTATTTTGTTCCCGGGAGGGGAAAGGCAATCGGACTAAGGATGGTCAGACGTGGGCTGGTGGAAGTAGTGAGACTTGGTAATTGTGAGCGTGGTGGAGTTTTCTTTCTTTTTTGGTGTGGTTTCATTGTCCTTATTGAACGTACTGAGTTTGTCGGTGTTATGACCTTCTACAATTCGCCTTTGGGGCAAGATATTGTGAAATAGTATCGGAGATGCAACTGTCAGATATCGCAGGGTGTGGAGGTTCAGGATTGGATCAGTATTTCTAGTGTTGGCGGTTCGATGAAGATGACCTTTGAGGAAGTTTAATGTTAGTAGCAATTTGTGGATTCAAGTTCTATGAAGATAAATTTTATTAAGGCATCAACTGAGCAGCAAATGACGAGCAAGGCATGTGGGAAGCGTCAGGAAGTGTTCAAAATTTCTAAAAAGGCCAGGTATATGAAGCGGAGGTCGAGTAGTCGATTAAGGGGATGAGTTCCGCCAAAGTGGGAGAGTGGTGGAGTTGCATATGGGCTTTGCAGTGGCATGATCACATACCTTAAGGAGAGTTTGGAGTGATTTGAGAATATTAGTGCTTGGTTATTGGGGTCTACGGATCTAATTTGAAGTGTGGGCTATTATGCGGCGAGAGATTTGATATAACGAGAAGGAGCTGCCGGAAAAGAGGAAGGATACAACATAACATTGAATTGGGAGGATGTTTCCGCACACTTAAGCGATGTCCATGAGGGATAAATGGACTTGTGTAAGTAGAGAGTGAGCTCGAACTCAGGATGGGTTACTGATGTCATAGTGATTGTACCCCACGCAGTAGCATTGGAAGATGTCGGGGAGCGAGTTCCACAAGTGGGTTATTCCCTATGAGCAGGCTAGCGGTCGCGTGGTTGGCGAAGCTTCTACGAAGAATTCTATTGGTTATACAGCGAAGGAATCGGTCGTGCGAATGTTGTTGATGATTCTGAGTATAAAAAGGGGGTTTCTATATTAAGATATCGAGCATGTTGGCAGTTGACTGCGCAAGGTTATGTCAATAGGAGATTTAGAATCCTGGTAAATTCCAGAGTTGTGTAATAGTGGCTTCGAGCTAAGTGGGAGAGTCCCACCGCCTATGATGGGGTTGCATGGTTAACTACTTGCGAGGTTTCTGGATATTAGCATAACGATGGGCCATTTCAGCTACGGGAAAAGACCATAAGTGGCGATTCAAGCTAATGAATTGTTGAAGTGCATGTTATGGTTGGCCTTATTGGCTCATGTTCAGATTTTGGGAAGGATTCAGGATTTATGCCTTGTACATATGCGGGTTTCAATGGAAGTGATTCTGCAGGGTGCATCGACGAGAGGGTATTCGTGGAGTTGATTATATTCGGGGCCAAGTCAGAGAGGGTGGCTCTCAACAACGGTCCTAATGGATTTAACAAGAGGTAAAGTATGGTGCCTAATGATTTCGAGCTTATAGGTACGGTTAAGAGTCAAGCTTTTGTAGCAGCTTATGAGAAGAGGCCCATTATGTTCTATGATGTGTTGGCTTGCAGTGTAGCATTTGGGAGGTATGAAATGGTTCATGGGATTTGAGACAGCATGGTCTCGTGGTTCCAGGTCACTCGGAGTGAGTGCAGATGGAGTGTGTTATATGTTGAAAGGGGTTATTGTTATTACTAAGGAAATCGGGGTAAATCAAAGGAAGATAGATTGATTAGCCATAGTTGAATTTGGCATATTGGTGTTAGTGATCAGTTCCTTCAGCGTGATCGAGTTATGCAAATGATTTGTGATGGTACGTATTAGGCTTGTCAGTCGCCGCAATTGATGTTATTCAGAAGCATTCTACTGTTATGGCTTGTTATGTGGAAGCAGATTCCGGAAGGGCTATGGTGGATTAGACCACTACTTAGAGATTTGCATATTCTACGGTTATGAGAATTCACCTGTGTGACACTATGGATCTCCTGAAGTGAGTTAAGTGAAAATTTTTTATATGATGAAGTGTTACCTATTAGTGGTTCCGAAGCTATGATGCAAAACGAGTTCTATCGTATATTGGCATGTTAAGTGCAGTGAGTCGTATGGAATTTGAAGTGAAGATCAAGGTAGCAGTTCGGTGTTGACAAGGATGTCACAAGCTCGGATGAGCAAGAAAGGAGTTTCGATGTTTAAGTAAGTTGGTTTTGTCATCAGCGTCACCTGAGATCGGTGTTTTGTAAAAAGGGCTTTGCATCCTGGTTAATTATTCTTGATCGCTTTTCAGCGTTAGTGCGGCCGGTGGTTTGGAGGTACAACCCAGTTATTTGTTATGGTAGGTTGTGGGAGTGTGTCCCACAGGAAGATTGTATAAGTGTGGCAGGTAGTCACTGGATTGATTAAAGGCTTAAACCAAGTGTGAAGGTTGTGATGATATCGTTGATTTGAGAANTTAATCATGAAGAAGAACTAAGCATGAAGGGGAAACTGATTTCAATCAACAGAACACTCAAATACGCGGAGAAAAAGAACAGGATGTGAAATGAGAAGAACAAACAAATAACTAAGACAATCACTCACTGATTCAGGCCTCTAACTTGACTGTTATAACATCATTTGAGAATCGATCGAACACTGGAAGACCCTCGCATGACCGAAATTCATTTTGGACTTTGAAGAAGGAACCCTAGATCCAGGATTCGAGAGATTTCAGTTGGATTTGAGGGAGGCTGGTTTGAAATTTGGGGAGAGGGGGTCAAGGTGGGCCTAGGGTGTAATTTTGGTTAAGATTGGATGAGGCGCCGCCGGCCACGACGGAGGAAATCAAGGGCGGCGCCCTAGGGTTTGGATATTCGGGGCTTTCTAGTGAGAATTGAGGGAGGCGGTTGGTGGCATGGATAGGAGGGGAAGGAGACGAACCAGTGGTGAGATTTTGGGCGTATTTGGTCGCCGGCCGCCGCCGTAGGCGAATTCCGGCGGGCGGCAGGCGGTGGTGTTACGTCGGGGGTTGGAGGGGTTGTGAGAGATGAATGAGGGGGTAGGGGGGTGCCTTCAGACAGTTATATAGTAAGTGATGATCCAGTTCCGGGCCGTTGGATCAAAATAGATCAACGGTCCTGATTGAATACTTGCTGAAACGGGGTCGTTTTTTGGGGTCAAAGGGG